CCAGTTCAAAAATGTTTTATTACAACAGCCAAGATGTGGAAGCAACCTAAATACCCATCGACAGATGACTGGATAAAGAAGATGCGGGGTGTGTGTGCGGGTATGTGTATGCGTGTATATATACGTGTGTGTGTATGTATATATATACACACACACATGTATATGAATGCTACTCAGCCATAAAAAAGAACGAAATCATGCCATTTGCAGCAACATGTCTGGACCTGGAGATTATCATACTAACTGAAATAAGACAGAGAAAGAAAGATAACATATGGTATCACTCATATGTGGAATCTAAAAAAATGACACAAATGAACTTATTTACAAACAGAAAGACTCACAGACATAGAAAACAAACTTACGGTTACCAGAGGGGAAAGGGTCAGGCAGAGGGATAAATTAGGAGTTGGGGATTAGCAGATACACACTACTATATATAAAACAGATAAACAACAAGGCCCTGATGTATATAGCACAAGGAACTATATTCAATACCCTGTAATAATCTATAATGAAAAAGAACATGAAAAGTATACATATACTACGTATAACTGAATCATGATGCCGTATACCAGAAATGAACACAACATTGTAAATCAACAATTAGTTAATAATCTCCCCCAAAAAACTGATTTATGTTCTTAAAAATTTTTGTAGTTGGGAAAAAAAACCAAACGAATGACATTTCTCCTTTACTTTGGGAACAGTGACCCTACACTGGCAGCGTCTCTGAAATGTGCAGTGTGCTGCCTCCCTCGGAAGCCCTGCTCACCCACACTGGGCTGGGGGCGCCCCGGGGCCACAGGAACCGCCAGGAACCCTCTCCCACAGGCAGCCTGGCTCTTGGACCAACCCGGTTTCAGTTGCCAGTGGGGGTTTTTAAAGCTTTGGAAAGAAAGGGGACTATGTCTTAGAGTTATTTAGAGGCAACTTTTTAATTTTTTTCTCAAAATAGCAACAAGGGAAGACTGGGGGATGGATGGAGATGGGGGGAGAACATGTAAGTAGGTCACTGAAGCCATAACTTACTAAGTAACATCCGGGCGGCCTGGAAATGCTCAATGAGGCTTTCAGAAGGGAGGACGGGACACTGGGAGGAAGTCTCAGCCCTGGGAGAACAGGGCTGGGTGTGGACCCGGGAGGCAGCTGATCTCTGCGGATCATCCTGTTTACTCCACAGCACAGAATTCAAGCCCGGGGTTCGGTCCTCAGAAACGGGACCCCTGAGGCTGCTGGGCGCTGACCCAGCTGCCAGGGGCCTGGCCCGCCCGCCCAGCCCCCAGCCCGCACCTGACCACCGAGTGTGTGCACACGATGAACTCGGGCTTGGAGTTCCACTGGTGGTAGGTGATGTAGTAATGGGTCTGCAGCCAAATCCACTGCTGGCCTTTGGTCAGAAACCGGTAGCAACATGACTTCCCTTTGCCAAACTGCATCACTGTTAACAGAAGATGGAGTCTGCATATAACAAAGGTTAACACAAAAATGATATTTTTTCCCCCAAAGTCACTGTTAAAAACACAAGCTTTCAAAGAGACAATGCCACACATGGGTTATGTCCCCTGTGGTGATGGATTTTAAGGGACTCTCAAGATCACAGTCAACGGTGATGAATTCTGAAACCATGGAGGAGGGACCTGCCTGCTTTCCCAAGTGATCAGAAGCTTAAGAGACCCTTAAACAGGGCAGAGTCTCCAACTGGAGTTTAATTAAAAAGAGGCCCCAGCTTTCCTGGTGCTGTCTTCCTGCTGCAGGTGGAGCTGCCTTTGGAGCTGTGGGAGCCCAGCACAGGAGACACAGGCCAGGCGTCAAGGGGAGAACTGGACCCAAAATAGACCTGCCAGCCAGCAGCCTCTGGACAGATCCTGTGGCCACCAGTTGGTCATCCATCCTCTAAATAGAGGTTCTAAATAGAGAGTCGGCTACAGGTGCCTTCTATCCTGGACCCCACTGCACAGGGCTGCATGGACCCCTGATGGTTACGTCTGTCGTGGGCTTCTCTGGGGGTGCCCGGCACACATGGATGCTGCTGGTTTAAGCAGCAGGGCAGAAAGCTGGACCACACGTCCAAGGAAGAACAG